TAAAAACGTAGTTTTAAAGTGATAATGTATTCAATAAATGTGTGAATCAAATAATAATGAAAAAAATGAATGAAGCCTCTTCAATGATGAATTAATCAATGTCTTTTAGTGAATTTGTTTTAAGGATATAAAAGTTTTTGACGATAAATAAATGGATTTTATTGAACATGTTTTTTGGGGGTGGGGGTGAGGGTGGAAATGAAAATGTAACAAGATTTTTGTAGAAATAATAAACAATAATATGTACTTTTTGTAAGCAATGATGGATAGTGACTAGTAGTGGAATCTAGTTTGACACGCGTTTCGTTTTATTTAGGATTCGTCAGCTGGATATATTTGCATCTCAGAGAGTTGATGTTTACTCTGGGACTCGAACATAGTACCATTCGCTTCAAACACTTGAGTGGATAACGCGATGGCGTTTGAAGCGAATGGTATAGGGTTCGAGTCCCAGAGTGAACATCAACTCTGAGATGCAGGTACATCCAGGTGACGAGTCACAAATAGGACTAAACGCGTGTCAAACCGGATTCCACTGCCAACCACTATCCAACATTGCTCACAATAAGCTTGTGAATTAAGGCAATATCGAGGCAATACGCACAGTATGCACATATGCCAATAACAGACTGATCGATTGCAGTCTAAAAACTCAATGGGAAGATACAAACAATACCAAGTGAATAATATATACTGATTTACCATTTGTGGTTGGTGATTTCATGCATTAGTTCATTGTATCATTATGTATTTATGGATAATTTTATATGGTTCTATATTTTGAAATATTTTTTGATATTTAAGTATAGTATCAGAAGGGGTTTTGTGGAGATTTTAGAAATTTCACTGATTGAAATCAAGAGTCAATTGAAGCTAGACTACCATGGAAAACCTGAAAGCACTGAACAGTCGTTTCCTCCTAGTATAGGACTCCTCAGTAGGGCTCATCCACTATCCCGCAGCCCGCGAGATTTGAATCCAGGACCTAATAGTCTCGCGCCAGGCACTTAACCAACTAGACCACTCAGCCGGCATCCAATGGTGTTAATGTCTGACTTCAACCGATCCACAAAGTTGCACCACCGTCCACCGTTGTCTTCAGTGAGTTGATATCTCACAACAGACCTGGTTGAACTCCACTAGTAACGGCTTCTCATTAGAACCCCAGGAGTATCTCTTGGAGTCAGTCATTAGTGAACAGATGATTATTATTATCAGAACGGGTTTTGTGGAGATTTTAGAAATTTCACTGAGTGAAATCGTGAGTCAATTGAAGCTAGACCCATGATTTCAATCAGTGAAATTTAAGTATAGCTTTGAGAGGTAATTCTCAGAGTTCTAGTAAGAAATAGTGATCGATGGAGGTAATCTATGTTAGGTGTGAGGTAATAACTCACTGAAGATAATAGAAGTTGGTCGAACAAAATCATGGAGTAGTTGAACTTAGACATTGACACCGTTTAAACCTAACTCATTGGTTCAGAGGTTATGTGTTCATGTGCGAGATCGAAGGTCCTGGATTCTAGTCCCTTTGGTGAGGGATCGTTGATGCGCGATTCTAGAGATTTTTATACTAGGACGAAAAGACTATCCAGCGCTTCCAAGTTTTTAATGGAAACAGGAAACACAGAACACTCATGGGATCGTAGTATTGAACTTCATGACAGTTCATCTGCATATAAATATCATGTAGACCGTCGATTGATGGCTTAGTGGTCCTAAGCTCATAGATGTGTGATGTTGAAGTGTAAGATGATACGATCAAATAGATATCTACTCTTTCCTGATTTTCACTTATGTTCTAACAATGATCAGTCTGCAATATAAATTATCCTATTCATCAATTTCAACAAAACCTTCATATTAATTAATTATCCAGTTTTTTTTAAGTAAACCACATTATAGCTACTATTCATTTGATTGAAATCATTCTAAACCCATAAAGCCTAAACAACCTATTCTCCCTAAAATAGAACTTCTCAACAGTAAACATCCACGACCTTACACAAGAGATTAGAATTGATAACTTTAAGTTTCATATAAGAACCTTTAATCTGTAGATCATTAACTCAGTGTTCATGGACATTAATATCTAACTTTAATCATTCTACTAAATCACATAATCATTTGTTATTTATTTTTGAATTAGAAATAACGACTTAAAATAAATTTTACAATTCCTTAAGAACTAATATAGATAAGCATTATATGACTAAATCCTTATGTGATCTATTGATATCATTAGAATATATTGTAGCGGTAAATAAATCCCCAAAATAAATAGCTCTATAAGTCTTCGACATTGGATGCTGACCACATTCGTTTTAATGGACTCACCTAGTTGAAGGCGCTCAGTCATGAATCCGCACCAGATCACGAGTGAGAACACCGTGCTCAAAAACCCCTACAATCGCTAGCCAGATTAGATCAGACGATAGCCAATCAAATATCTCTTTGAACCTCCTCGCTTCTGTTTTTTGATTTCACTTGGTGTGTACGCTTCATATTAGAAGGTGTTACTGGTTAAAGCGTTATCAAACTCCGAATAACTGTGGCATTTTCAATATTTTATTTTACTGAGATAAAGATTGTTGTGTTTTTTTTTACATGTTAAAAGTTAGATTTTTTGTAACCAAAACCGAAAAAAAACACAAAAAACAAAAAAAAACAAAAAAAACGAAAAAACACAAAAAAAACAAGAAAAACACGCAAAAAAAACGGTACGATCTTTTGTAATGTTTTTCTTTGTGATATCTTCTTTGCCATTTTTCCCTCCTACTATTAAATATAAATGTAACTGCCAAGATACTAATGTATGTTAACATGATTACTGAACTGATATCATTCATTGTTGTTTTTTTCCTTACTAATTAATCACTTTATTTAACACAATGGTTTCTAATGTTAATCAAGTTTATTTGAATAGTTTGCCAATTTTTTTTCTAAAATTTTTTAACCGCTTTTTTTCGTACAGATTTATTTAATAAACCCTATTGAATTAGTAACAAAAATTTATTTAATTAATGAATTCAAAAAAAGTATTATATAAGGAATGTATAGAAATATTTGTTCACAAATGTAACAGCTGTCTTTGCATCAGTAGGCCTCAACATACAAGATCCTCAAATACAACACGCTGAACAGCAATCCAATCACTCTTGATGGCGAAACTCTGGAAGATGTAGAATCCTTCACGTACCTGAAAAGTATAGTCGATGAGCAGGGATGATCGGATGGAAACGTAAATGCGAGGATTGGCAAACTGAGGGCCGTATTCCTACAATTGAACAACATATAGAACTCAAAACAACTGTCTATCAACCAATATCAAAGTTACAATCTTCAATACGAACGTCAAGACAGTCACTTCTACTGTACGGAGCTGAAACTTGGAGAACTACTACAACCACCATCAAGAAGGTACAAGTATTTATAAATAGTTATCTACACAAGTTACTCAACATCCATTGTCCGGATATCATCAGCAAGAGACTTGTGTGGGAGAGAATAAACCAGCTACCAGCTGAAGAGGAAATCAGAAAAAGACGATGGAAATGGATAGAACATACATTACGTAAATCATCGAATTGCATCACGAGGCAAGCGCTAACTTGGGATCCTCAAGGGAATCGGAAAAGAGGAAGGCCAAAGAACACATTACATCTGGAAATAGAAATAGATATGAAAAGAATAAATAACAACTGGAAAAAGCTAGAAAGGATTGCTTGGGATGGTATTGGATGGAGAATACTGGTGAGTGGTCTATGCTCCTTCATGAAGAGTAACAGACTTAAGTAAGTAAGTAATTATTTCAAAAAGAGGTTTTATAGAGATTTTAAGAATTGAATAATTGAACTCATGAGTTGATTAAAGCTGAATTTGCATGGAAAACCGAAAACCATTAAACTGTTGTTTTAGACTGGTATGGGACTTTTCAACACTCTGTATCCATAATCTCAGTATGTATCGGTCTCGTGTATGAACGCTTAACTTATAGACGATGGACGATGATATAATTTCGTGAATTGGTTGAAATTAGACATTAACACCATTGGCTGGTTTTCCACTTTTGTCTGACTTCAGTTTTATTTCCATGAATCTTATGCAAACCCTTTATTACCTCTAAAATTTATCACACAATTTATCTTATCTGTCTCTGTACTCCAATCGACTATTACACCACCCATCATTAATTGTTTCCTTGATTCTAACACATAGACATTGGTACAAGGAAGCCCAAAATACATATGCGCCAACAAATCTCATTTGATTTGTTGGAGGGCTGTGATACTGCAAGGGTGCCCAAACCGAAGCAGATGGTTTTCTTAGAGGGCCACACTCCGAGCCTTCGACCTAAAGGTTTGATCCACAAGGCAGTGAAGCATCGTAAGGAGATGCAGTCCCATGGTAACCATGATCAACAATTGGTTCATATGCCATTTGTTCCTTCAGGATACTTGAGACAATGTGCACCATTGATTTGGCTTGTGACGGATTAAAGCGTTAGGCATTCTCTTTTCGTCCTCTCATGTTCGTAAACAACACCTCAACCACGAGAAGGCAGAGAGTAGGACTTCCCTGTCAGAGGCTATATACGCGTGGTCATGTGAGAGCATTCGAAGGGAGAGCGGACTCTCCCCACTCTCGGCCATATCAGGGCATTTGGGGGCGATTCTAACACCAAATAATCTCTGACCTGTTCTCGCACATATACATAGTTATCATTGATAACCATCGTCATTCCAATTCTTTACATTCACTTATATCAATTGTTCCATACCTATATCTTACCTCTATGTAAAATTCCAATACAACTTTGGTTGTAAGCAGCTGATGTTGAGGAACCACGACAACAATACTGAATTCATAATATTCTACATCTATATTTGTTCTAGCATCATTTAAAGTCAAGTAGTTGGTAACTACTGAACTTCGACTATATCAGTAGGTATGTAGTACCTGATTTGAAACCACATAATTAATTTTGTATATACCAAGAGATGAGTGAAATGACAGAAATTGTGTTACAGTTAGTTTTCTACGGGATGAGGGCGCTAACCACATGCTCAACCCTTTTTCTTTATCCGGACTTGGGACCGACAGTAGCCCTCGGAAGGACTCCAGGCGAAGGTTGTAGGCTGTACTGCTTATGTTTACCATTAAGATCATATTGATCTCTTCTTTGATTCCATCAACTTGAACCAATACATATTGAATGATCAGAGTTTTCTATTGATTATCTCTAATCTTAATTGGTTCTATCTATTCAGGATTATAAATCAACAAACATATCGATGGAATGAATTTTCAAATCCAACAGCGTTGAATAAATCAATACAACTTCGACATATTCGACACATTCATGATTTTGACAATGCTATGGATAATGATAATAATAATGGACAATTAGCTGAGAACATTTTATATCAAACCAATGGCAATTCTGCAATTGATATGTTAACGTTGAATACAGATCGTCGTACATCCAGAATGAGGTATACTTTTTAAATGTATTACTATAGTATGTGCTTGTTCACTTAACAGTTTATTCTATGTTAAATCTATCAAGGCGTCCACGTCATCCGATTGAAATACGCGCAAAATCGAAGTTCGCAAAACAACGATGTGTCCACAATGGCCGTTCGTTATTGAATAATACACTAAATTAGTTACAAACCTCAAGTTGTGAAGTGTCTGAGGCGTTTAAACGCGTCCCTTTGTATGAAATAAAATGGCTTCTTGTAACGGTAACATAAGGAATAGTTACAACGTACGATAGGACATGGACAACCTGATAGTTGTGTCTAAATTTGATAACAGTTTATCAGCAACCAAAACCCGAACCAAGAGTAAAACAATATGGAAACTGTTGCGTTTAAACAAATGCACAAAACTGTAGATAACCGCTGCAGTGATTAAGGTATAGTAATTAAACTGATAAACACAGTGTTAAGTACAATATACGTTTAAGTATAAGTGAATATTTCAGAATGCTACACGACAACTTGCGTCACAATAGAAGTGAAAAATTGCCGGGAATACAACTGCTTACTTAATATAAATAAGTAGTATAAAACAATATATACAAAAGACTGGAAGAAAAGTGAGTAAGAACAATGTAAAACAAACTAAACACTCGAATTGAAATAAAATGACTTGATCATGGTGAATCAAGTGGAATGAACAAGATCACGTATATAACTCTAACTTCTGGATCAACATTTTTTTGTCAACTGTGGATCGATAACTAGAAAATTACTAGAAACTAAAGAAGTATTATCAAGATAGTTTGAATGAATTTCCCTCTTTCGTTTCTCTGGTCATTAAATGAATGAAAGGTGGTTACTATTGAATTTACAGATTGAGTACTGTAGTGTAAGTTACTATGTTAATCCCACATAGGTTATTCTAGCTTCAGGATGGACAGGCCAATTTAACGGTTCTTCTTGAGTCACATCGTGATCTTGTTAATTATTCACTTATCAATCTTGACTGTTTTTATATGAGTGTATGTGTGTGTGTATATCCTATCCTATTCATCACATGTGTGTAGCTTATCGATTAAATGGCGTTGGCTTATGTGGCTTCTCCACCACTGCTCATAATTTCACTTCGCTCTCTTCTATTCTCATCATCCCTCTGATTGTTTGTCTAGATCAATGATTGTATGAAATATACGTATTCGAAATTCATTCACGTATTTGACTTATTTTTATTCCTTTATTCACTAACCCGAGTCAAGTCGACTATTATTACACATGAGGATTGGCGACATATAGATTTCGACATCGTATATTTCAATAATAATCATTCATTTGATCCAATTGAAGTCAGATATGGGGTCATAATAGTACATTCCACAAATAATTTAAAATTCTCTAATCTAACCAAACACATGGATCATTTATGTATGTTGATGATAACATTTCCATCTCTTGGATTATTGAATCATCACTGCTGAATACTATGAATTTCAATTTCTTCAAAGTATAATTATGGATCGTTATAGACAAAATGCATGAAAATCAGAACCTCAAATGCCCTGGTATGTTTGAGAGTGAAGAGATTAAGCTATCCTTCTCGAAATGCTGTTATTGAACTCAAGTTGACGGGCTAGGCGAGCACCGAACCATTAGGACGCTAGGCTGATCAGACCGGTCGAACGTCATTGGTTTAGTACAGTATAAGAGCGAATAAGTCATATTTCGATTGGCGAATAGATTACCTAATAAGAAGCGGATCATAAAGTCACAACAGAAATAAATCTTTATCATTCATCCTCCTATTCTTCTGTTAGTGTACTAAATCGTATAAGTCGAGAAGTAGATGTCTAGAATAGAAGGATTGTGTAGTGACCAGTCTATGGAAAAGTGAACTGCACGTAGAATGCTATTTCATTAGAAATGTTAGTCAAAAAACAAGCAGTCTCTTTATTCATTTCAAGTTAAATCAATCGTTTGAATTGACAGTCTGTGAAGAGAACTTATCAATATATTTTGATTCAGATCATGAACCAATTGATGTTGGACGACCATTGAAATCCTGAAAGCACTGGAAGACCTTCCAGTGCTGTTGGTGATCGTCTAACATCAATCAGTTCATGATCTCAATCAAAAGCTTAATAATTTCCACAACCCCATACTGATAATGCTCGATATATGACTTGATAGAGGAGATTGAAATCAATCAAAAGATTATTGAAAACGCGAAAGATGTTGATAAGTTTGTTTTACATTGTTCCTCCTTGTTCCCTTTCTACTCTTTTGTATACTGTATTATACTACTTATTTACATTCAGTAAGCAGTTGTATTCCGGACAATTTTCACACTCATATTGTAACGCAAGTTGTACTGTAATATTCTGAAATGTTCACACATACGCTTGACTAGTATGCTTGATCTGATCTGCCTGACCTGGCTGGGTATCTGCTGTTGCTTGTAGAATACACTCTCTACGCCTTATCAAGACTTCTTGACCGAGTTAGATGAGTCGAAGACAACGGACCAGAATAGTCTATTGAGTCTCTGAATCCTGAGCCTTCGTTCCGTTTCGAATAAGTCGAACCAGTAGTATCCTCAAGGTTAACGAACCTAACAATTTGACGACGGTGCTTTTGGAAACATGGATCCTTCTAAACTTGAATTTTTACTCGAGCAGCAGATGAAACTTATTCAGAAGTTAGCAGATGCAAAGCTTACGTCTAATACTCAATCAAGCAGTTCTAATCCTACTACTGCTGCACCATCAGTTGATGGTATCGCTAACAGTATTTCCGAGTTTCATTACGATCCAGAATTCAATGTCACGTTTGATATGTGGTTTCCACGTTACGAAGACTTATTCAAATTCGACTTTGCTAATCAGGATGATGCTTGAAAGCTCCGCTTGCTGCTTCGAAAGTTGGGTCCTAATGAACTCGACAGGCATTGCAACCTAATTTCTTGGTTTAATAGTTTTGAATAACAGTTGCAACTTCATATGTGTTTGTTTTTCTCTTGATGATTATCAACCATACTTGTTTTCTGTTTTTCTTCAATTTACATAAGGAATAGGATGAGTCCATTGCCTCCACGATGTTCTTATATTCCAAAAGAAAAATCTCCACATTCAATATCTAGTCTTGATGCAAATGAAGTAGATGAAGTTCGAAAGAAGTTAGATCATCTTCAATCATTACTAATACAAGTTAAAAATCAACTCAAATGTTCACCCATCGACGAAGATGATGATGATAATATGATTGATGAAAGAATCTTTCCAAATACTTCAACTGAATTGAGTCTTTTACAGACCACTGCAAAGAATACTGAAGAAAATGGAGAAAAGATTGATGATTCATGTGAAAATTTGCCCAATTATGCTACATTTTCTGTGAAAAAATCACATGAATATGCTGTGAGAAATTGGTTACTATCAAATTTTATTCATATTTAACTACTTATATCGATAAAAGTAGTTAGAAACAATTGTGTGAATTAATTTCTATGACATGAAGATCAAGTTCGTCTTTATTTCTTTTTATATAAATGTTTTCTTAAAATATCATTCATCTCATTATAATTAGCATTGGTATGTATGACATCCATCGTATCAGTGTTCATTTTAACTTTACTCTTTAATGTTAATTGTAGAATGTTTCTGGGAAGAATAATTGATTTATTTAGATATTTATGAGTGTAGACTAAATCAATATTATTGGGTAGTGCTATAGATTCTACGTGAACCAACAGCTTCTTAACTCAAACGAATAAACTCGGAATGTGATTAGACAAACTTTACTATGGTTACTGTTCAGTCCGTCAGACAGTCAGTCAGTAACAAATTACCATTTCTTACTTACGTAAGTACGCACATCAGTTCAAGTTGCTATACCACATCAGCACACAGATACAATTGTCCATTCAACCCATAGTGGTAGAGGTAGTAAAAGTAACAGCAGTAATCGGAAACATTTGGGTTTGAAACTGCTATTCAAGGAATATAATGGAGTGAAATAAATTTGAAAAGAGAAAAAAACAAAGGGACAGGAATATTTCAGAAGATTAGAATTTGGGAGAACACAAAGAGTGGATGCACTTGCATCATTGCAAACGATTTTGAGCCATGTCATTCAAGATCTCTAACCATTATTTCCTATCGTCTTGCGGATCTGAACAAGGCAGTCTACATCTACCAACATGACTCAGTAAACTTGTCAGTGACTTCATGAATTCATGTCATGTTTTGGTTTAGCCGCCTCTAGTTTTCTTTCAACCTACTCCTACACCATAAAACATCACACGTCGGGGCGGTCGGTGGTTGGGCATAAGTAACACATGTCACAACCAATTAGGAAAGTTGTGCAATACTCCTAAAAGATTTTGTATGGAAATAATACTGTAGTTACATAAAAAATTACTGACATATTTTCATAATTAGAAAACTGTAATGAATAAGAGATATGTTGATATGGAGAGCTAATCAGAAGTAGTCTAAGGCGAATATCAACCGATGGCAATCACAAGTGACCTGAAAGACATTTTCATTTCATTGTCTGTGAAATGGATCAATTTGCTAAGGATTAGAGTGGTATATATTTATGAATGAGTACTGATGATAGTTTTCGTTGATTAAAAAGCAGCATTTGACTCCGTGGATCGAGAGGTGCTGTGACAGTATCTGTCATTGAAAGGCTCTCATCAGAAGTACACAAACCCTGTGAAGGCTCTTTACTCGAAAACTACTAGTCGAGTCAGAGCTTATGGCGAACTGTCATCTGATTTTGCAACATCAATTGGTATCTGTCAAGGTTGTCCACTTTCTCTATTTTTGTTTAACTTGTGGTGGTCCCCAAACAAAAGGAGCTTACACAAATTATATTGATACACTAGGTTAACAATGATATGCCAAAACAAATTATTGATTAAGAAACCTAGGTGTCTGTCCGTTAGTAAAAACAAAGGTAATAAAATACCGTTAGCAATACAAAAGGTATATTAAACAAAACAGACGCTAACAGTTACTATAGAATGAATGTTACTTGTTAACTGCCTCGTGAGGACAACGACCACAAACTGAGTTCACTTGGTTGACAGGTGTTCCTCTGCAAGTGACTGCACCAAAGACGTAATGAGGAAGACGGAGTCCAATAGTATTATACAATAGTAATCCGTGCCAAAAGCCCAACGTTGAGTCGGAAGGCCTATAATGATGTTATAATACTATTATAGTCTTCAATCAAAGCGGTGGCCAATAAAACAGAAGAACAAACGGCGTAAGTATTGTTCTATATTTTAAACAACCCGGTAGAAGAAGTGTATATCATTCATCGAAAACAATTATCATCGTCTTTTTTAACAAGTGATACAGCAAAACAACAGATATTGAATAAAAATGTGGTTACAAATAAAGTGTGACAAATTAGAGAAAAAATGTGGTTTTTATTTTTGTTGTTACAAAAATCACTGAATATATGTCACCATATAACTCCCCCCCTAGGGCATGCGTCGATGGAAGTATGCCCGACGTAAAACTTGAAATGCTTTGAAGGTAGGAGAAAATTACACAACGAAAAGGGTAAACAAATATTATTTTTTTTTAAAAAAAAATCATACGTGTATATATATTCAAGAACAAAATGTTTCTCTTGTAGTAAAGAGACTTTAATGTATATAAAAAGTTTAACAAGAATAACGAAGTGTATAATAACAATAATAATAATAATAATAATAATAATATCATTAGTAATAACGGTAATTAAATTGAGAGTTCACCGAAAAATGTAAATAAATGTATAAATTGTGTAAACAATTAGTGATAAACTGAATGAGTCCAACGAAATTGGATATATTTGCACAATTAATATTAAACATCATATGAAACGCATACACATGTAGAGAAAAACATAATAAAATTTATCAATATTAGTAGTACACAAGAAATTTTTTTTTTTAAAAATGCTTGCAAAAAAAATGTTATTAGTAACTCTGCTAATATAGATATTTAATCACACTACAGGTAATGACAGAATAAAGGTTAAGTAATTAATTCAACATAACGCTTAGGAAAATGTACATGTCTTCCTGAACGAGTTGTTTTTGTAGAAGGTAAAGTGTCGGAACTAGGATTTAAGTTTGTGGGAACTGTAACCTTAGAACCGTCTGTTTTACGAAGTATTGATTTCGTAGGAGTTGGTGAAGAATTATTTGGAAAGGCTGGAAGCTGCGTTGTGTGATTGCCGCTGTCTTTAGACGGCTTTCGGCTGTCCTGTGTTTCAGATTCTATAAAAGCAGGTTTTATCCTGTCGATAGAAACTGTTTCTTTTTTTCCGTTCTTATTGATTGTGAAATATTTTGTTTGCCTCTCAACTACTTCATATGGTCCTTCATAAGGATGTTGTAGAGGACGTCTTACGGAGTCAACACGAACAAATACAAATTTACACGTATTTAGATGCTTGTTAACTTGCTCTTTTAAGACAACTGGCCGAGGTGCAACAGGCTTAATGTTATTCATATGGCTCATTAGTCTTTCGAAAAAGAAGCGGGATCCGTACATACGGGTTTGCCACTATGCGACACTAGCTGCCCCGGTAAGGTTAAATTAGTTCCATAGACGAGCTGTGCAGGAGTACATTGTAGGTCTTCTTTAATTGTGGAACGTATGCTTAGTAAAATAAGAGGTAGAGATTCACTCCATCTAGAAACATCAGGTTGTACCATCAATGAGCTTTTTAGTTGTCTGTGGAATCGTTCCACTAGTCCATTCGCTGCTGGATGGTATGCTGTTGTAGTGATATGATGGATTCCTAAAATGCGGGTGAATTCATTGAAGAGGTGAGATTGGAACTGTGAACCTCTGTCAGAAGTAACTGTAGAAGGTACACCAAAATTAGCGATCCATCTGTCGAGGAATACAGCAGCAACATTTTCCGCGGAGATATCTTTTATTGGGCATGCAATTGGCCATCTAGTAAAACGGTCCACTGCAGTAAAAATGTAAGTGAATCCGTTAGATGGAGGAAGAGGACCAACTAAATCAACATCAACATGTTGAAAACGATGGTCGGGTAGACTAAATGCTGACGGTGTCGTAATCGTATGTCTATGTATTTTACTGCGCTGACACTGTACACAAGTCCTGGTCCATTTTTTTATATTTGCATTCATCTTTGGCCAAACAAATCTTTCAGCAATCAGTTTCACAGTAGCACGAATCCCTGGATGGGATAGTGAGTGAAGACAATCAAAAACTCTTTTTCTGTACACTATTGGCACAAAAGGTCTGTGAGTTCCAGTAGAAGTATCACAAATGATAGTAGAGTCAGAATGTGGTATAGGAACACTTTTTAAGGACAAGCTCGAACTTTGTTTACAAGCATCAAGGTCGGGATCATCTGTCTGCAAACGTGCCATGTCTGATAAATCGATTCCTTTGGTGAAGGAAATTGCATCGACGTTGAAACGTGACAAAGTATCTGCAACAACATTTGACTCACCTTTTATAAACTGTATGTTGGTCGAAAATTGAGAAATATAATCCAATTGTCGCATTTCTCTAGGGGAATAACGGTCACTTTTCGCGTTAAAGGCATAGGTTAAAGGTTTGTGATCAGTGAGTATCACAAAGTCTCTACCTTGCAGTAAATGGTTGAAATGTTTAACAGCTAGATAAATAGCCAATAGTTCTCTACCGAAAGTGCTATATCGAGTTTGGGTTGGTTCTAGCTTCTTTGAAAAAAAGGCAAGTGGTTTGACCTCATCATGAACTCGCTGTTGTAGTACTGCACCTACTGCTGCCTGTGATGCATCTGTACACAGGATTAGTGTTGCTTCCGGGTCAGGGCTTAAGTAGGTCAGCATGGTAGTAGAAGCGATTGCTGTTTTAGCTGCAGAAAAGGCATCTTTCGCTTGGGAGGGTAATGTGAACTTTTTGACTTTACCTTTTAACACCTCCGTCAAAGGTTGTAGGATGGCTGAGCAATGTGGAATAAAGCGACGATAAAAATTGATCATCCCCAAGAAACGTCGAAGTTTATTCCATGAGTCTGGTTCTGGAAAACTCTTGATGGCTTCTATTTTTGTATCCAAAGGTTTAATTCCACGTTTGTCGATCAAGTGACCTAAAAACTCTAGACTCTCAACTCCGAAAATACATTTGGATGGATTAATCACTATGCCATATTTCTGAAATCTTTCGAATAATTGATGTAGGTGATCAGCGTGTTCATGGATCGAACTGCTAGCTATTAATACATCATCAATATACACGAAAACAAAATCTAGGCCTTTAGTGACCTCATCCATAAATCGTTGAAATGTTTGTGCGGCGTTCTTTAATCCAAAAGGCATTCTTAGGAATTCAAACAAACCAAATGGAGTAATGATGGCTGTTTTTGCTATGTCCTCGGATGCTACTGGAATCTGGTGGTACGCTCGCACAAGATCAATTTTAGA